GTGTGATGTGGCGAGCTACAGTATTTTTGTACGAGCTAGCGCCCTTGTCAATTTCCCATCTTAATTTTGTTACGCCATGTAAGTACCGCACGATATGGTACCTGTAGTGGTATCGTATGACAAGGTGACTGTTATGGTACCGGTATGGCCTGGCTATGGCATGCCATAGTGTGGTATGATACTTTTAGTATGTACATACTTGACATCGTAAACGTACGTACTATTAGAGACTGGTTGCTTGTTCATCCTTCACGGAATTTGTTAAATGTGCATACTGTACCCTAAATACCTTCAATACCTATGATGGCGCACTGATCCAATAGAAGTGCTGCATCTGTAGTTGAGTTCAAAACAACTTGTACGATAAGCGACACCACCGTACCGCACGACATTCGTGCGTCCTTCCTTAACGAGAACATCATTAAATGTCTCGGGAGAAAAAGACTAACGGAAGGCATTTTGGAGGCATTTCCGATCCGAGATGGAAAAAATCTTGGAAAAAAGTATCATCAATACTACCTCCTCACCGTTGATTCTTTTTGATTTATGCATAACAGAGTATTGTACTTCACTGTAGCAACCCATTGCTCTGCATCATTAAAGCCGAAGAACTCCAAAAGACCTTCCGCTAGGCAAGACACAYCGTATTTCGGTGCATTAGCTCGTTACTTCTGAAGAAAACCAAAGAACGAACGCAACACCTTTCTCCACACAACAAGATAAAATGTCTATCCGGCCGATCAGCTCTCGATTCCCCCTGTCGAAAAGCGTTTGGGAAGAAACCGGCCTTCCACTGTGCGCTGTCCTGRCCCCCCTGGAGGATCCTGGAGAAGACGAGGAAAGCAACGAAGACGGGAGGAGCGAGAAGGGCAGAGGTGGTGCTGCTGCTGACTCCTGTGCCCAGCCCATCGGGGCCGTCCCCAAGTGCCTCTACTGCGGGGCACCCCATGTGACGGCGACGACGCACTTTCGGCCCTCCAAGCTGTCCTCGCRGCTCCTGTGCTACTTTTGTGGGGAAACCTCCTCCACGATGCTCACCGATCAGCAAGAAGTCCGCGAGAACGAGACCCTTGATCCCGACGTCTATGACAAGATCCCCTTTTTTAATCCGAGGGACGTCCTCAACCAGAAAGACGAAGACGAGGACGATGTCCCGCAGGTTCCGACGGAGACCTTCGAGTTCCGGGTTCCCGTAKATGTCCAGAAAATGACTGAGGTTGTCACCACGAGAAAGGGCAAGAGACGAATCGTCAAGGAGCAAAAGGAGACCATGATTCCGACCTGGCAGCTCCCTGCCATGGCCTGTCCGCCCGTCTGGTGGATCGTCGTCGACGGAACCGTGGGCGGCAGAAACAACACACTAGCCGCAGCACGGAATTACTGGAGCACGGTTGGAGCCACCCTCACGCGCACCATCGAGGCCATACCACCGCACGTCCACGTCGGACTGGTCACCGCCACTGCATCGCGGCTCGCGAACTGGGACCTTGCCTCGGCCGTCCCGCACGTCAAACAGTTTCCTTATTCCTACGATCCAATGTTGGCCATCGATGACGGTGAGGGTGAGAAGAGCATGTCGGAAGAGAAAACGGCCTGGGACCTAAGCCTTGTTCCGGCAAACGGCCACTACAAGGCAAACCTCCTGGCTGCCATCCGGGCCATGGTAGACGGAGCCGGGAGAGGGGTCTTCATGGGCGGAGACGAGGACGACGACGACGATGATGATGATGATGGCCACGAAGAAAAAAAGAGCGAGGACGAGCAGCCCGGCAATTTTGGGGGCCAGGGCTTGCCGCTGGCATTGACCACCGAGATCATTCTCGAGTTTATGGAGCAAGCCCATCACCCTGGACAACAAGTGGAGGAGGACGAAGATGACGACGACGACGACGACGATAGCACCACCCAGTTGCGGTATGCCGGAGGAAAGATCCTATGCCTGCTCGGAAATCCTCCCCTAGAAACGGCAACCCCACCGTCCGACGACAGCATGAGCTACTTCGCACAACCTGAGTTTGGCTTCGGTGGCGTTGCCGGAACGTGCTGTGTGGAAGACGACATCGTTGAGGAAGAACAGAAACAGGCGTCCCGGCTCCAAAAGCGCAGTTCTGAGATGCATGGGGAGGAAAAAGAGGATGAAGAAGACGTCGACGAACCCACCGATCTGACACATGCGAACATCAAGGATTACGCCATGCCTCTGGAACCGGACGACTTGTTTGCCATGGTCGGGAAGCGCTGTGCCAAAGCTGCCCTCGGTGTGGATATCTTTGCCTTGGTTCCCCAGGAAGATGATGGCCTGGAGGGAAGAAATCGCTGCGAGCTGTATAACAGCAACACGGAGGAGATCCCTTGGTACGGCTTGCCACTGTTACGACCTTTGTCGGAGCGCAGCGGAGCTCCCGGACCCCTTATGTTCGGGACGGCGAACATTGGATCGGTCGAAGACAGAGGAAATAACACGAAGCACTCCGACGCTTTTGAGCGCCTCCACGAAAATGTTCTTGCGCGAACGCCCTGGCAGAATGGCATGGTGTTCGGAGTCGCGATGGGTCTGCGCCTCCCTTCAGGATTTCGAGTGGAAAAATCTCCAGTCGATGTGCCCAACTCGCAGCTGGAGCTCTCCCGCTACTTGTACAGTAAGGGGATCACAGGTTCGGCGGTCGCTTGTGCCGATGTCGAGGAATATGGAAAAAGAAAGGTCGCCGGCTTCGAGGAAGACGACAATATCGATGTATGGATCATGGGAACATGTGATCCGCACACGAGTTTTACCGTTGACTTGGAAACGGTTGGAAGCGACGAGCTGCCCGATAGCGTTGAGATGCAAGGTTTCGGAGAGGTCGAACTGAAACCTCTAATGCAGACGTGTACCCGTTACACCTGCATCGAAACCGATGGTGCCGAACCAACACCAAACTACTATACCGTCTGCAAGATGAGGGTATCAAATGTGTCGATGGAATATACTGACAATGCCGAATCAATTTTTGATGGATTGGATACGGAGGCAGTTTCGACCGTGCTTTTCAACAAGCTCGCCCTCGAAGCTTACACAGTAGGCCTTGCCGAAACGCAAGAAGTCGCCGAATCATGGTTGCAACGTATCCTGGAAGCTGTATACGAGAGTGCGCAAGCGGAACTTGCCTACTTGGAAGAAGAAGAGGAGGAGGAGGAAGAGAAGGATTCCGAAGAAGATTCGAATTTCAAGGCGTGTGACCGTCTCTTGGATTACGAGGGTGGAGAGTTGGACAAAACCGAGGTTTTGATGGGAGCAGGTCATTCGAAGGTGAAATCCGTTCCGCTACTGGTCTATGCACTCATGAACTGCGATGCCCTGCGACCTAGCAACGAAAATTTCAAGCCTTCGATGGATGCCCGTCTCTGCGCGATAGCTCAATTGACGTCGATGACTCCCAAGAACATGGCAAAGATACTAGCACCATCTCTGTCTCTTTGGTCTCTCAGGGACGACCGGCCCGTTCTGGATTCCTTGCCCCTCAGACGGGAAGGAATCTTGGCGAAACTTGACGCTCTTGACGAGGACAGCAAAAAAGACACGATTCTGCTTTTGGATTCGCTGCAGCGTGTCGTTTTCTTCGACGGCGTCGAATTGGGTGGCAGCAAAGGGAGGACCAATGAATCTCGATCGATCGAGGTTGGTACGCAATTTGAGTCCAGAGTACTATCGAACTTGAGAGGATATCGAACAGCTCCTCTAAACTCGAAGGCCGTAGAAAGAATTCTAGATGAAAAGGGTGGAAGTCTCACCGATGTTGGAGTCTCTCGGTCTGTCTTGCTTTCGATGCTAATAGAGGACAAGGCCACCAACAGAGGAGACAGCAACTTCAACGAATGGAAGTCACGGATTGCCAAAGTGCTTCGAGAGAAATTCGAGATTGATGAGGAGAAAACTACCTCTAAAGGTAGACTTCGGCGTATGATGCCTTTTTAAATTTACTTCAGAAATACTTAGTATAATATTTCCTCCTTCGGGTATATCCGTGGATTTCCTGTTTCTATGATTGTTTCTAAATTCGGGTATACCTTCTGGTTCATGGGACGTATGCCTTGTAGTAGGGCCGTGCTGAGGAACACCCACGAAGCACAAGTATATTTTCCATCGCTTACAGTTTCAGGAACACCATCGATAGCCTTTTTTGTGGAGAAACCCATGACGTGTTTCAATAATGTTCACAAGAGAGGTCTCAGTAACATTCGCTTTCAAGGACATATCCATCTGTTTTGAGTCCAGAAGCTTCGTTCGTTTCTTTCACGATCCCTCTATTCATTTTGGCACGGAATTATTTCTTTAGGGGGGGGAAAGTTCGAGGTTTGTCTGCGCGTTGTGTTTTGCGTGTGTATGTGTGTGTGCTTGTGTTTAGTATGCCATCATTGTCGTCTTTTTTACCACTCCTGGGTATTTTCTCCGCTACCGTCAAAAGCATGTCCGGTTTCTTCCTGCCGTGTCGATAGTGCCATCTTCTTCGCGGCTTCTGACATCGAATTTTTCAGAGAGTGACGGGGAATTCCTAGTCTTGCGGTCAATACCTTACTCCGAGCCCGGATTCGTTGTAATTGTGCTCGAACATCTTCTTCTGCTTGTGTTTGCTGGTTGTGGTTTTTCCCATCTTCTTCGTCGCAATCTCTATCTCTGAAATGGACGTTTTTTTCTTTGTCTGACGATTGAAATAGACGTCTTCGAATATCCTCCTCGCTGGAAGGGAAATCGTTAATGGCCTTTTCGAGTTCGTCGACGCTCTTCCGTATCCGATCGAGAGACGACGACGAAGACGTCAAATCGCTGCCCTCCAACAACACCGATTCTCGGACGGCCTGCAAAAGCCCCAACGCAAAACCGATCTCCATTCCGTAGTCGATCCCAGTCTTGTGACCGAGAACACCGCCCTCTCGGAATCCGGTCAATAATCCTTCTTCCTTTCCTAGGACCCGGCCTTCTTCGATGGCCGAGACTTCCCCTCCCAATACTACTTCATCAAAGGTGCTTTGCACATCGGAAAGATCGCTGTTAAATGCACAATCAAATGGATCGCTATTGCTGGTCATCGTTGTCTATTCCTCTCATTTAAAAGGTCGTTTTCCTGCAGTATGCATCTCCTCTTCCACAATTTGTATTCGTAATGTGGAAGAAAGACAATCTCAATTAATTCAATGAATTGTGCCTCAGTTTAGACAGCCGACAAGGAGCGTTGGTTGACAGGCAAGAGTACATTTTTGGTGAGGCCATTCGTGACTCGTGACTCGTATCGTGACAGAGATAATCTGCCATATGATTAGTACATAACAAACAAATATGAACTAATATTTGACGGAGAAAACTATCCTGCCTGAACCGACACGTGGAGGAAAATGATCGAGCTCCCCCGATTTGGCAATGATCACACTCCCATGTTGATGATGATTGATAACTTTAGATTTAAAGGTTTCAATCATCGTTCATCGTGACATGCGGAAAGCCTGATCTGCCGTCACTGATTCCAATGCAACAAAGCATCCCTTCTGTAATCGCCCACACTTTGACCTAATTGTGTACTTCTTGGAAGGACCAAGCGATCCCAGGGAGCCGATGGAATGATAAAGAGAAATACGAAACGAATGACGAAGAACGGAAATATTTCAATGAATTCGAGAATCATTGCCAGGGCGGAGTCTGCTTCGGATGGCGGCTGCGTCCACGACTTCTCAAAGCAGCGGGTCGCCGAGATGCTTACGTCCTCTATATTTTTATTCCGAAGGAGGAGAATAAGAACCTTTGCAACGATAACGATGACAACAGTACTGTGGCTTCAGATAATATTTTTGCAGTTGCCACCCGTGGTTGTCGGAGCCGTAGGAGGGGAGGGATCGGGGAGAATAAAGCCACCGCCACCGCCCCCGCCCCCAAGACACATGTCACAAAAATTGGTCGACGCAACAATATCGTTGGAAACGAAAACATTATTGAGAAACGAAAATCGGGAAGCACAGGATGCAATACCAAAAGTTCCAGAGCACGTGACGATGGCAAGACTTAACAAGGACTCCAATATCGTTCCCCCTCCACCACCTCCGCGAGTTGTTCCAGAACAGGCAAGTGTTGGAAGAGCATCGCAGAAGGCCGAACAGGATGCCAGCCCGAAGCAGGCGATATCGAAGAATCTTTTTGTTGGCAACGATTTCAAGCCACCGCCACCTCCGCCGCGACGCAGTTCCACAGAACGCAAGGAAGAGGTGCAATATCATGGACAAGCTCCTGAAGRTGCCGCCTCTACTTCTGTCTCCATTTCACAAGAAATAGAACAAAAAGAAATACTACGTTATGGTGAGAAAGAGAAGGACGAAGCGAAGAAAGACGGATATTTGCTTGCAACAACAGGTTCAGTTCGTGCTCCCCGGCAACGAGGACCGGCATCACTAGCAACACACATGGATGTTGGCCAAGCACAGCACACGAAAGAACGCCATGCTGGCCATGTTCAGAGACAATCAGAACCTTCACCCGACCGTTGGCAGCAAGAAGATCAAAACAAATACCAATGCAAAAGCCAAAATACGAAATCCAACTACTATCAAAACGCATCTAGTTACCAACCCCAACCACGCGGGCATCTTGAAGAGCGTCACCAGCAACACCGTCAACCCCAGCGGCCTTCGCAGCCCTCCCCTAGCGGAGTGCCATCATCTGCTGTCACATCGGCCTTCAAGGGACTCTGGGGAAAAGTCGAGCAGAGGTTGGATGATTTGGCAAACCTTGAGGACACCGTATCAGGTAGAGCCCAACGATTGGTCAACACCGCAATAACCACAGCATCGACTGCATCCAGAATTTCTCCTTCCAGGATTCGATTATTGGCGGAGTCTGGAGCTGCAGCCGCGGCGAGAGCAACACCTGCATCTATGGGTAATATCGCAAGAAAAAAGAATGCTTCTCCTTCGGTTCTGGGTGCTACATCGGTCCCCTTAAAATCTTACGGACAAAAATTCCAAGTAGCCATACAAGAAAAGGAACGACAACGAAACGATCAAATAAATCAGGCATCCCATTTGGCAAACGACAAGAGCAAGAGCATTTCTGCCAAGGGAGGGGCTACTTCCTCCCCATACCACCCACCACAACACCCATCTCCGCCGACATCGTCCTCTTCGCCCCCTGGTAACCCCAACACCGATTCAGCTGCGTCATCACCGGAGAAAAAGGATTCAGCGAACCAAAACGTCAATGTGAATGGAAATCAAGGAAGAAATTCCTATGATCTATCACGGTCATCTTGGGAAGCACGTCCGCCTATTTCTCAAACTGATCGTGGAAATGTCGCTCCACCTTCCGAAACGACAGCATCTACCCCAAGTGGTGGAAAAGGGACGTTTGTTCCTCCCAATGCGAATTCAAATGCAAATAATGGTTCATCACAAGGAAATCGCGATGGAAGATACAACTCAGGCAACTATGGTAGCAGCGGTCCTGGGATGAACAGCAGACAGTTTAGCAATCCGTCTCGATCAAACGAGCAGCAACAAAGCAGTCACTCTAGGAATTCACGTATACCATGGGATACTTCAGAGAAATCACTTTCTCCTCCAGCAAGGTCGGTTCAATCGCTTCCCAATCGATCGGGTTTGGTTCACAGATTCGATGATTACGACACTCCTTCTTGGAAACGTGCACTGGAAAAACTTGTGCCCCCTATACCATCTCTACCAAACATCGGAAAGATGATTCCAAGATTTCGACGAGGAAACATACGATACAGCTCTGCAAATTTAGATGCCTGGGATGCAGCTTACGGCGAAGATAGCAATAGCAGAGGTGGAATCTTTGGTTTCTTTAAAAAGAGTAAAGCAGGCTCTGGGTCTTTGCCTTCGTCGAGCACGCCGTTTCGACAAGACAGACGAGATAAGAACGATGATCAACCACCTCTGATTGCTAGCATGCTCTCTCGCTGCGACAATGGAAAGAAGACATCTTTGCTGTGTGAAGCAGACGTACGAGCAGGCAATGCCATCGGCCGCTACAAGGCTGCTTTGGATATACTATTCATTCTATCTWCCATATTAGGATGCAAGTTATTACCGGGGCTGGGAGATATAACGTCTCTCCCTACCTCTTTCCAAGAGGCAACAGAAGCAGTTCTTACGATAGGCAGATCGATTCTAAGCGAGCTCTCAATGGGTTCTTGGGCCTTATTCGCTTTCCTATACGCCTATTTATTCAAGTACGCACAGGAAGTGTTCCTGGATCAGAAAACTGAGAGTCTTGCATCGTCTGTTGCTTCGTCAGTGAAAGAGGAGTCTGAATACGCCCAGCTTTATCTTCGACTTACGGCAGCAACACCAATGAATCGAAACCTACCAGATCGCCTCGCTGCGATATCCAAAAACCAAGTTGTTAGTGTTGTCTCCAAGGCACGTCTGAATTCTTTTGTTTGGATCGTGTTAACATCTTTGACCGTAATGACAGTGTCTGCAGTTGGTCCAATACTTCTGGCATTCTCTTCAGCGTTCACCAAGATTGCAGTGATGAAAGAATGGCGCCAATGGCCTATTGAATGGCAAAGTCTTTTTGGTTCAAGTTTAATTTTGATGCAAGACTTGTTCCACACTCTTGAATCGCACGGTACACGAGCATTCAGCGCTTTCGTAGAGAAGCCGATGCAATTCTCCTTCCATTTATGTATGTTCGGCTGTCTCATAATCAGTACTCTCCTGCCACGTCTGGAGGAACGACGAGCCTTAGCTTCGAAACGTGATGAAGACGAGGATCTAGAGGAAGACGATGCGTTATCTTCAAGCTTTGAAAGCGCGGAAGAATGGTCAAGACTTGGTACTTCAAGTGCCAGTCGTTTAAGCATGCTGTCGGAAAATGGCTCGGTGGAGAATGCGCTAGCTCGATGGCGGGGGAGTCACTTATCGAATATCGAAGAATCTGCATCTCGTGGCCCATTATTATCTCTGGTTCGTTTTGTAGCTTACACTCTGTTGGCAGTTCTGGTGACAGGGTTGCCCGTGGCTGTCTCTTACTTCCTTGCTGACGATACTTCATCTTCCTCAAACATCATGTCATTTTTCCGATGGGACTCCTTGTTTGATTTATCATTTATTCAGCTCTTCCTCTTTGGTCTCGTTTATCGAGCACTTCAAAAAGTCATGGAATCGGTTACTGATGCATCGATGGTCAAAAACTTCCAGGAAGACTTGGTGAGCATAAAGAACGAGATCGAGGAGTCGAACAGAGGCAATACAGACTTCCAAGTAATGGGCTCGGTTTCTCCGTCTGCAGGAATTGCAGTGAGAGATTTGTGGGCAGCGCATGTAACAAAACGAGCATGGGCTGTTCGTGGGGCCAATTTGCAATGCAAGAATGGAGAGATCGTCGCTATCTTGGGAGAAGATGGCAACGGCAAAACGAGACTTCTTACATCACTAGCTGAATCTCTGACATTTCCTCCAAAGCGCACGGTAACGACAAATAAAGTTCGTGGCTTCATTTCTATCGGTGGGTTGGAAATATCCAAATGGAATCGGAAAATGTTGAAGCGTCGATTGGGAATTTTGCTTTCTGATGTTCGTGTGGTTGCTGACTCCGCAAGCTTGTTTTCTGGGTGGACTATGGAGGAAATTCTTGAGCCAATCGATGGAGTTCGTTTATATAATAATGATTCCCTACAACGAACGTATACATCCGCTGAGAAATCAGCAATGCTATTGGCACTCAAGGTACGACATGGCATTATTTTATGAATTATCTCATTTTTGTTACTTTCACCAGCCAGCTCTTTCTCACTATGATCCTCGAACTTCTCTTTTTGTACTCTTATTCTCATAGCTCACTGGACTTTACGGGACTCTCCTTTCGAGACTTCCCTCAAAATCATCAACAATTTTCACAGCCAACGAGGAAGACTTGCGTCCTACAACCCTCAAACCTCGCTCTACTCTGTTATCCCCAGGGGAGTGGTCCAAATTAATACTTGCTCGGGTATTATCTCAAACTATATACGACAATGATAATGCTCTTTCCTCAAACGATAAGATTGAGAACAGTATGTTGGGCTCGATACTTTTGTTAGACGAGCCGACAACGATGCATTCCGAAGTAGACGAAGGCCAACTGTTCCGAGACTTGCGTCTCACTGGAGCCGCAACGGTTATAACTACAAATAAGTGGGCAACTGGACGATTTGCAGACCATATTTGTGTCATGAAGAATGGATCCATTGTAGAGATGGGGAACCACAACGAATTGCTTGCTCGTGGTCCACAGCAGTCATTATATGCAGCTAAGTGGCATGCCATGACAATGCAGTAATTCATAGAATGTCTCAATTCCAGAAATTTGTTTCCTCATTAACTAGTCACAAATGGAGTTTCGTTGTACTCTCCTTTTCAGAGCCAAAATCAATTTCTTTCAGTTTGTGTCATAGTAGACAAGTGTTTAATAAAGGGATTAGATTATGAATGTAATGAATCCAATGAAATGTATAATGCTTTGCCCATTAGATCTAATGGCTTGTACGTGCTAGTCGCCACGGTAGCTTATCGTTGGAGGAAACTGAAGTGCTGAAGGAAAATTTTTGAGGTCAGAAACAATGGTGCAGCAATTTGTGACATTGCTTTGGAATGGTTTGCTTGATGAGTTTTTTAAATACTCCAAGTGGTAGTGTAGTATCGTATAGCTGCAATGCATGAATATTGTTCTATTGCGAATCGAAGTTCATACTAAGTCGAAGCAGAAGCAAATTGACACTCGCAATTCGTATAATCTGGAAAACGATTCTACATGAAAAACGTTAGGAGCTTAYGGCGACCTATTGAATGAGTGTCACTCCGAAACGAGATCAGAAATGGTCGTATCTTCACATTTACAAGGGCGAAAAACATAAACTGAGCATTTTACGCAATTAGAACAGTTGCAATATCAGCGGAGTGCATTGTCTCTCAATCAGATTAAAATAGTTATTGATTATGTATTCAAATCACCCCAGTGTGAAACACAAAGTTGTTCAGTCACGTTTGAGAGAGATCCTCGGTGCGACCGTCGATTTTGTTCTTTCCTGGTCGCAGCATACATGTGATAGCTTTCATCTACTCATCTGTCTGCTGAAACTGGTGAACTGTGAACTTTTGATGTAGACAACACAAGATCTGAAAAATATTGTTCTCTATATATTTAATAATATATCAACCCTCCTTCGTCGTATTCTCTGTCCCTCTCAAAAATAGAAAGACAAATTCACCGAGATAGCCACGTACAGAAATTATTTTCCGGCGTTTTCAATGTTGGCAGCGAGTTCGTTGACCTTCTCTTCTAGACGCTTCTCGGCTTCAGCCTTGACTTTCTCGAGGTCGGCCTCGAAGTTGGTTTCCTTCCAGTCCTTTTCCCATTCCGCGTTCAGTGCAGTGTTGGCGGCAATGGGTCTGTTTAAATCATATACATGAATTTTATGTGGAAAGAGTTGAATTGGTTAGAAGGTACGAGGAGGAAAACAACGTGCGGAGAAGCACGAGTATGGTAGGAGGACGGGGGGATTGGAAGACGTTGGTCGTTTTTGTCTCCGATTAAATGTTTCTGTTGAGGCACAGAAGAGTCAACAACATCTGAAATGAACTCTCCAAAGTTGCGAGGATCAATTCTACGTCCCCTCAGACMTCCCAAAGTAACTGTGTCGTCATTCTGGATGTCCCTGAACAAAAAATGTTCTCAACACACGTCGTGGAGAACTAATCCGAAAGAAACAGTAAGACGCACCTGCTGACGGGAGCGAAAGCAGAGGCAGAGGCCACAAGGGCGGCGACGATAAGAGTTTGCTTCATCATTTTGTATATTGGTTCTAGGTGTGTAAATAAAGGAGATACAATTGGGTTGTGTGCTTGGCGCTGGGAATGTCTGATTGATGTTGCTATTCGGTAATTGAAGGTACGTACTGATTTTCGTGTGGTATTCCTCGCAGATACAGTAGCCTCTTCAACTACGTTTCTGCATTCGAGTTCTCATTATTTTCTTGGCGCTCGTCTTCCCGTTGTCCCACGTTCAACGTACTTCGTGGGTCTAAAAGAAACACAAACCCAACACAAGTGCGTCGTGCCAATTGCATGCGTGATTATCCCTGCTGCATACGTCACTATCTGATTTGACTAGATCGACCGTAAATATTATTGAGTCGCGGATGGATGACAAAACGGTAGACGGTACGGGACGTACGTACTGTACCGGACAAGACCTTACGACGCCTACCATACTGTACTTTACTGTATGCAGGGTCATAATTTTAGAGGGGTGCGCAGGTCGACGCATCAAAACTCATATTCCATCCTCCGTACCAATACTACACGTTGCGAATCAATTAAAATTTCATTCACGGGGCATACGAATGTTAGAATTAAGGTTCCCGATGTTAACTTGACGTTCCCAAAGTCAGACTTCGTAACCTTTGGAATGTTAGTATATCACTGTAGGCCTAGTACCAAGATCATGGCATAAGAATCCCTGTTCTTCATTTGGTGGTAGTGCATTCTTTATTTGGCAGCAGCAGCATGCCAGCATCATCCTCCCCCCAATCACAGTGGTGAAAAAACATTTTACCAAGTCTGTTTCAAATGAAGTAGTAGTACTACACTATTGTATAACCAACGCTACAAATGTTTTCCTCCTCTTCTGGGGTACATCTACAGCAAAAAGAAACATGAAAAACATATATTTGTGGTACAACAGCAAAAAATTGAAAATTGTGTCAAACATTTAAGAACCAGCCCAGTAGAGTGGCCTTCTTCTCAACTATCCCCCAAAAACAAAAAAAGTCCTCAGTTTAGGTAAATTCATCACAATTTTTATTTCCACTGAATATCATACTAGTAGTGTTGGCCTTTTAAAAAACAAAACAATGTTAGAACCTTGGATTAGACATGGAGCACTGCTGTACGTCTTAACATGGTCAATAATGTCCCATAAACCCCACCAATACAGCTAGAATTGTCTCTTTATTAGGAACACATTGCTGTGGTTGTTTCTATTGAAGGCTGGTTGGTGACCAAGATAGAGATCAAACTGTCAGTTCAAGACTAAAACAGATAAGTAGTTAGCTAGTATGTGCAAGCATCAGTGTATCAAATGTCTAGTAGTATGCATGTCAGGCATGTAACTTGAAGACCGGTTCTACCAACACCTCGATTGAATTTTTAAAACATTTAAATCCCATTCTGGATTTGGGTCCTTGCTCAAGACTTTTTTCTTCGCGCCCTTCAGCAGTTTATCCACTTGATGTAAAATTTCTTCCGCGGTTTGCCTCCCTACCAATGTGGCATCAGGTGCATTCAAAACTTCCTCCAAATCGTATTTCGATTGAACCAAAAATGCTACACCTGTCATGCTTCCGTCTCCTCGCGACGTCGCTTCGTATCTGTCGTATTTTCCAATTTCCAATCCAGCTTTGGCCCTCCGTATGCGTGACTTTTCGTGGTCGGCCATGAAGATCAGCGCATCTGTGGCAGTTTCGGCCGCTTCTTCGTATTTTACCTTCCGCAACAAACATTCCGCTTTGTTAGATAACACGTTCACAATCTCTTGGATCTGGTTTCTTGGCGCAATATACAGTCTCCTCTGGGTTTCGGGAATGGAAGACAACGCTAAGTCGTAGAAATCAATGGCCTCTCGGAATTCGTGCCGGCCGAAAAAGTGATTTCCTTGTACTTTATAGTCGATAAGTTTCTTCAATGTATCTTCATCGAGCCTTGTAATACGAATCTTTGGTGGACAGCATCCCTCCACCAATCGCCGCAATACACCGTCAGCCATATGCAAATTTCGTTCTTCCAAATTTTCTTGGCATCGGATTATTGTTTCTTCTGCAGAGATATCCATGCTTCCCACGAACAAAAATTCGTCTTCGTCGTCTTCATCATTTTCTCCGAAACCTTTGTTTTCCTCCCGTCCTTGTTTTGACTCGACAAAAAAATGTGCAAGTTGTACCATCATTCCACAATACCCTGAAAACGACCACATGCCATCAAACGCTAGGTCCATGTTCATCATGCCATCGTTCTTCAGATCTTCTACGTTATCGGCTAGCTCTTTGACATCCTTCATTGTGATGGCAGAAGTAGCTGCTTTAATTGGCTGCTATGATTCGAAATGCGAGGGCCGGAACACAACGTCGATAGTCTCTTCATCCATGTGATTGGATGAACGAATCAAATATTCCTTTTTATTCCAATTGATCTCAGATCGATCTGCATTCAGTATCCAGAGTAATCGACCAGTTGCTGGATTTTAGCATGTAATCACGTGCGCTGGATTACAAAAAGAATACATGTAATCGTACACTAACAAACACTAGTTAATTTTCTACTTAAATCTCGCACCTCGATGGATTACAAACCTGCAAAATGGATTACATGTAATCAAAAATTGTATTCAGCGCTCTCATGAGAAAGAGCCTTATTTTTTCCACAGTAGTGCTAGTTGTTTGGCTGAATCGGATTACAACTCCGAAAACAAAATTTTCTCCTAGTAGGATTACAGTAGAAATCAAAGTTTCCTCCGTATCGGTGAGCGTCCTCCGTATCAGCAACTCGTATCAGCAACTCGTATCAGCAACTCGTATCGTATCTGTGGCTCCTCCGTATCGTATCAGCGTCCTCCGTATCAGCAACTCGTATCGTATCTGCGGCTCCTCCGTATCGTATCAGCGTCCTCCGTATCAGCAACTCATATCGTATCTGCGGCTCCTCCGTATCAGCGTCCTCCATATCCGTATCAGTGTCCTCCTTATCATCGAGCATTCTCCGTATCATCGAGCGTCCTCCATATCAGTGAGCGTCCTCCATATCAGTGAGCATCCTCCGTATCAGTGAGCGTCCTCCGTATCAGTGAGCGTCCTCCATATCAGTGAGCATCCTCCGTATCAGTGAGCGTCCTCCGTATCAGTGAGCGTCTTCCGTATCAGCAACTCGTATCAGTGGCTCCTCCGTATCAGAGGCTCCTCTGTATCAGCGGATCCTCAGTATCAGCATCCTCCGCATTAGCATCCAGTGTGTGTGATTACATGCTAAAATCCAGCCAACTGGTCGATTACGTAAATAATCAGCCACCTTCTGGCTGCGTACAACAGCAATCAGCACTGAGACTGAGTCCAACAAGGTCTCGAGCTSAGCTCGAGACCTTGTTGGACTCAGTCTCAGTGCTGATTGCTGAAGTAATCTAACTCCAGTCTCAGCCTCGGCCTCAAGCTCCGCTCTCATCCTTGTCCTCGGCCTCAGTTAGATTACTTGGTGTAATCCGTATGTATTCTGATCCGTACTCTGAAAAACCTTCCTTAAGGAGGAAATTATGTGCAGTCTCGCCCTATCGCGCTCGACTGCACATAATTTTCTCCTTAAGGAAGGTTTTTCAGAGTACGGATCAGAATACATACGGATTACACGTACGCAGCCAGCAGGTGGCCGATTATATTACATAATTGGCGAGTAGCTCACGTTTTGCTTGTATTCACGCGCGGTTGAATACTAAAGCAATACTAGAGGAACAAGAAGAACAACAGTTCTCCTTGTTATTATTTCAAGACCAGCTCTCCTGTTGGAATCAATGCRATAAGGGGCTGGGTTAAAGAGTTTGCTGAGGTTGCTGATTTCAAGGATTGGGAGAAGTACACACCACACGATAATCGACACCGTTGCTGCACTATTCTTGCCTCTGATCTTGCTGTTCCTGAGAAGATGAGGACGATTAATCATCTCAGGCACAAAAGTGCTAAGTCTGCTGAGCCTTACATCCATYGCAATTCTGTTATTCAAAGAACTGTACAAGGTGTGCTTCAAAGTRGACTACACGGAGGAAAAGGAGGAGTGAAGAACCAGTTCCCTGCAGGTACTGTTGTTGTTCAACAAAAAACAGAGAAGGAGGGACGCGAGTCGCCCTCTTCCTCTTGTGGTCCGGTGCCATCACAACTCAACAAGAAACAAGCAGTAATTAAGGCTGGTGTCGCTGGTACAAGCAGTAAGAAGCTGCTCTCTCCTACCGTTGTTGCTGCTGACAGGACTGAGATGATTTTAAGGGAGAAAATTGACGATGCAAGGAAGGAAGCGGCGAAAAGAAAGAATGAATCGGAAGAGTTTGAGCGAGCAGCCAAGAACATTTGTTGTGAGCTAGAAGAAGCCCAGCAAAAGATTTCAGATCTGCACAAGCAAATTGAATCCCTGAATGAAGATTTGCAGAAGAAAATGAAATCTGAGAAGATTCAGGAGGCAAAGGATGTGTACAAGCAGAAGGAGCTTGCTTGGGAAAAAGAAAGAAGGTCCCAGCTTGAGAGTGAGCTGAAGATGTCCCAGCAATTGAAGGAACTTGAAGAGGCCTGACGTGCAGGAATCCAATCCCCCCRCCACTGCGTTGTTATGTAAACGCCAATCATCCTCCTCACGACCAGTCTATTTTCTTGTCGACTATTGTTGTGATAAACTACAATCCATGGTAAAAAGTATAGGAGAACCATACAACTAGTGAACCCATCAATGCATAGCAGTAATATTCCTCCAAATGTTGTCCTCCACGGCAGTGAATAAAAGAAAAATRTGAGCTACTTGCCAATTATGTAAATAATCAGCAAGACTTCTCACTGCCTTAACCATCAGTAATCAAACAGAGGACCAGGACTCGGTTGCTGGTCTTGAGCAAGCTCTCGACCAGCAACCTCATCCTGGTCCTCTGTTTGATTACTGACAGTAATCTAACCTCAGTCTCGGTCTCGGTCTCAAGCAAGCTCTCGACCTCAACCTCAGTTAGATTACTTAGTGTAATCCGTATGTATTCTGATCCGTACTCTGGAAAACGCTCCTTAAGGGGAAAAAAATTATGTGCGGTCRAGTGCTGACATATTTTTTTTCTCCCTTAAGTAAGGAGAGTTTTTCATAAATACGAATCTGAATACATACGGATTACACATACGGCATGAGTTGCTCACCAATTATATAACATAATCGTTGAGTAGCTCACTTTTTGCTTGTACTATTCACGCACTAGTTTTTTTACTTGAGTCTAGCACCTCAATGGAGTATATTCCCCTGGTACATGAATACATTATTCAATAATTGTGTTCTGGTCCAACCCAGTTTGCCATGATAATGCTAGTAGTTTGGCTGAACCAGAATTCAAAAATTAAAGTACCAGGTATGTTATGGTGCTACACACTTTTTGCACTGTATCAGGGTYCTCCATATCAGCATCCTCCCTATCTGAGACTCGTATCAGCATCCTCTGTATCAGTGACCCTCCGTATCAGCATCATCTGTTTCAGTGACCCTCCGTATCAGTGAGCCTCCATACCAGCGATTCATATCTCAGGAGAAACTTGTATCAGTGACTTGTATCAGCATCCTCTGTATCTAGCAGCGTCCATAGTATCTAGTAGTGTCCTCCATGAATACAAGCAAAAGCAAGCAAAATCAAGCAAAATCAAGGATTATGTAAACAATCAGTGAGACTGCTCAATGCCTTAACCATCARTAATCAAACTGAGGTCAAGGTCGAGGATGAGATTGAGGTCAAGAGCAACGACTRCACAAAATATATCTTTCCCTTGAGGAGAGTTTTTTGTGATTACAAATCAGAATATATACTGATCAAACGTACAATCTGAGTAGCTCACTGATTAAATTACATACTTGTACTTGCTATTACAGTGCTTGTACGTACTGTTATTTTGTTTGAAATGAAACATCAATGGAAAAAAATCTGAAGTCTATTCATGTTGAACCTCATGAACTAGAAGAGGGGCTACTAGTATCATCATGGCCATAACCAGGACTTAGGAGGAGAAGAATGCTCCTAGCTGCTTTGAGGGGTGGCACCTCCCTCCAAGGAGCCCTCCAAGGAGGGGTTGTRRAGGCATGACTAGGTTGTAAATACATGGTATTTTGGGTTCGCTGGTTAGTAAAACAAGAATTGAGTCAATGTGGTTTGAAGGGTTCAGAAAGAAGTAACAGGAGGAGCCAAAGAAGTATAGCTGCTGGTGCACCTTTTTGTGGAAGCAGAATACAAATTCTTCAGGATGAAAGACATAGTAGCTCTCAATAAGGATCTTCCATTGGTTGTTATGATTTAATTGCTTTTTTCATTTGAAAATAAAGATTCTTAGCACACATCACATTGACATTTTGTTTTGAGTATTAACAGTAGCTACTTCAATACTTACTTTCATTAAAAGCTTTGAAATCTCAATATTGAATACAATGTATTTTGAGTTGCTAGGTCTCATTATGACTACTAGGTCTTCTTATTCTAGCACTTACTGAAGAAGTCTTGACAACATAAATACTAGCAGTAACAAATATTATTTCCATACAATACTAAGACCAAATATGACCAACCAAGATAAACTCAAGATAGTAACTTGTTGTTCAAAGGCTCTCACCCTTAATAAGATTATTTTGGGTGTATGCATTCACATGTGATGGCTTCTTTGATGTCTTCTTCATGTTTTGGATTGTTTCCCTTTTCGTGCCCTTTTATTTTTTTTGCCAGATGAAGGCTTTGGCTTGTTTGTCCATTTTTTGTTTCTTTTTTCAGCTTTATTCCTGATACCTTGTGACAAAGTTTTAGAAGTAACATTTTCGCTCTTCGGTTCGAATGCTCCTAGTGCTCGCCAATGATTTATATTGTTTTTCATTGCGCTGATACTGTCCCCAAACTCCCTCACACGTTTGTTATTCAAATTGGTTTCTAATTCTAAATATCTTTCTTCAAACCAGTCAAGGTTTTTTTCCAAACAGTATTCCTTGTCGAACGTACCCATCGCAATTTGCTTCACCTCTTCTTCCATTTGTCTACGAATAGAAGGGTGTGATAAGAGTGCAGGCGACTCTACCAATAAATCCGATATCATTCTTTCATCTCTGTCAAAAATGTCCAAAAGAGCCATGCCCAGAGCAGAGGGGACCATGTAACGTCCAATTTGTCTGGGCAACTGTTTCTGACCAGGCCGACGATAGCCACGGAGGGGTTGGCCTGTTTCGTCACACAGAGTTACGTAACCACGGTCCACAATATTGGTTACATGTACCGCCATAGATGCGTCAGTTCCAATTCTGTTGCTATCCATCAGCAAGATTAGTTCGTGTTCTTGCAAAAAACGAGGGGGTTTTGTAGTGGCCTCTTCCAGTCGTGCATTGACAATGGGAAGGGCTTGCCCTTCTTCTAATGGCACCGAGGAATCTTGTTTTCCTCCCGAAGCACCAATGTCTCTCAAAACCCAGCGGCAGCAATCAGCAAAACCAAGGGAAT